GGGTATGTAGAAACAATCTAACAGATAAAAAACATCGATTTTTTCCATTTAATTGCTTTACAAATTACACATTGATTCGTGTTTTTAACACTCCTCCCAAAGGCATTTGTTCTTGGGTGACTTTCAAAATGTTTAATTTCCTGAGCAGCAGATTCTCAAAGGGTATAAAAGCCTTATATGGCGCCTTAGGCTTCAAGGGGACCGAGCGCTGCGGCTATGATGGGCTAGGGACTGAGAGCTGCTGCAAAGTCAGACTTTGGAAAATGTTCTTGGGAAGTTGCCGCTTTGAAAAAAATTGCCTTTCGGAAAGTACCTAACATATATTTCAATCCTTTACATTCAGACAAATGAGAGAGAGAGTCAAGTACATTATACTTTACAGTAAAGATATATTCTGCTTTATTTCATTTATTTTTAACGTATCTTGTTGATATTTTAAAGGAATATTAAACAAATTCTGCTTCATTTAAAGGAATTGTAAACATATTCTGCTTCATATAAAGGAATAGTAAACATATTCTGCTTCATTTAAAGGAATAGTAAACATATTCTGCTTCATTTAAAGGAATTGTAAACATATTCTGCGTCATTTAAAGGGATTTTTAGCGTATTCTGCTTCATATAAAGGAATAGTAAACATATTCTGCTTAATTTGAAGGAAAAAGTATTCTGTTTCATCTTATGGAATAGTAAAAACGTATTCTGTTTCATTTCATCTTATTCTTCTTTAATTAAAGAGAATTTAAACGTATTTGAAACATTTGAAGGAATTGTAAACATATTCTGCTTCATTTTAAGTGATTTTTAACGTATTCTGATTCATTTAAAGGGATTTTTAACGTATTCTGTTTCAATTCAAGAGATTTTTAACGTATTCTGTTTCATTTAAAGGGATTTTTAACGTATTCTGCTTCATTTAGAGGGATTGTATACGTTTTCTACTTCAATTGAAAGGAATTGTAAACGTTTTCTGCTTCATTTTAAGAGAATCGTAAACGTTTTCTGCTTCATTTAAAGGGAATTGTGAACGTTTTCTGCTTCATTTAAAAGGAATTGTAAACGCTTTCTGCTTCATTTAAAAGGAATTGTAAACGTTTTCTGCTTCATTTAAAGGAGTAGTATACGTTTTCTGCTTCATTTAAAGGAGTAGTATACGTTTTCTGCTTCATTTAAAGGAGTAGTATACGTTTTCTGCCTCATTTTAATGGAATTTCAACGTATTCTTTTTATTTAAAGAGATGTAAACGTATACTGATTCCTTTCAAGATTTTGTCAACATATTTTGTTGTATTTAAACATCAGTTTTAGATTTCAAAGTATCATATCTTCAATATTAATTTAAACAACACTCTGTTAGATATATATATATATATATGGTTAATTTTAACAGAAACAAAATGAAAATATTTACTCAGATAAAATTGTAATGAGAACAATGTTATGAATTATGGGAGCTGTCCCCTTTTATTTTCTGAAATTGTTTTCTCCTTATATCAGAGTAGCCAGAGACGTACACAGGGGAAGGGGCTATAGGGCTTAGCCCTTCCCTGGATCAGTAAAACTATGGTTTCAAGGGGGTTTTTGTTCCCCAACAGGTCCCTGGCAAGTAAAAAAATAAGCCCCCCCCCTTAACAAATTCCTGTTAAAGCTCCTGAGGGTTTTGTTATGAAACTTTATATAGACTTTAACCCCTTCGTTAAAGAACAACTGTTACTCCAATATCAGTTTGTATTGATTAATAAAGTCGTTAAAAAACGTTTATTTTTAAAAATTTCATTCATTCGGATGTACGTTCACATTAAAACGTTCAAGGGGTGGGGATACCACACACAAAAAAAGAATAATAAAGAGGAACAAAATAACGTTTTTTTTTAAAAGTAATAAAATTATTTTTGAAAAGAGAGGTAGAATTACCCCTGGGATTGGGGTGATACAGATTATTTGAGAATTTTTGGGGGAAAATGGAATTGAAAGGGTTCTTCAAGTCATCTTCCCTTGTTACCGTAATTATACAGAATTGATAGATCTTAATAATATACTGCTACCGACCATTATTCAGCCATTATTATGTTTTATATTTAAAAATATTTTTATAGTTTTGATGGATGGGGAGGGAGGGGGTCGTCTTCTTTGATATATTTTGGGAATTTCTTGTATTTTAACATTAAATAACTCAGCTTACTTCTAAATCTGACGATCTGTATATTTACATTTCTTAAAAATTATGAAATTTATGATTTCTCGGCCAAAAAACGAGTTTTTACAGGACGTTGTTAAATTTTCAATACAAAAACCCGTTTTTGGTTTCTAACTGTTTTAATAATTATTAAATCCCTGTTAAATAAACTTATCTGTGTTCGGAGTTCCAATAATGACCTTTTTGAGCTCTCAGCTTGCTGGTTTTGATATTCTTTTTTAGCAAAGTGCTTTGAATATTTAGGCATATATATATCCCGCTAGCGCACACCACCCTCAGCTCAAAGAGAGAAAAAGTGAAAAATTTAGGCACCCTACTTTTATATATCTTTAAATATATCTATCCATCAATTTCTATCTATCTATCAATTTAACTATCTATCTATCCCTCTTTCTATCTAGTCTATCTATGGAAAAGTGACATATTATGACGTGTGTATAAGGTGCCGCAGTCTATATTAAAATTCCTTTTACAGAGTTGAATTTAAAGTTCTATTTTTCTATTTGAGAAATGGGCGGAAATACATCACAAGAGGAGGGCGGGGGGGGTTGTAACAATTACAAATAATAAAGGAATTGAGTTTTTGCCACAAACTCAGATTTTCCTATTCCTATAACTTAGCAACCTGTTTTCCTAGACCTTTGATATTTCAAACTATTAATTCTGGTAGATGAAATAGTCTAAGTTTGAAATATCAAAGGTTTA